TGTGGCCCTTGGGGACGCGGTTTAGCAGCCCTGGGGGTGTTGGGTTGGTGGTTGGGCTTCATGATCTCAGCGGTCTTTTCCAACCTTAATGATTCTACCACTAAGCCCAAACTCACAGAGAAATTTTGACCCCAGATCATGGGTCAAATTCCCAGTGACTCCAGCGTCCCATGAGGGTCCTCCCCGCCGCTGCGAGTGGGAACTCTGGCGAGGGGCATCGCTGCACGGCCTCGGAGGATGCACCAGTTCCCACCAAACCAAGGTGCTCGCCCCTGTCATCACACCTCGTAAATCAGACATTTGGGTCCCAAAGGCCATCAAACGGGACGCTTCGGACAGGAGACCAGAATCCCACCTTGGAAACACGGTCATCGAAGCTTCTTGTAGACACAATCCTCGGCGGCAACGCAATCCTCGGTGATAAAACCCCGGCAGTGCCGCCGGAGCCCAGCAGTTTGCACAATAACTGCCATTTTCCTCCACACGAGAGCACCCAAGGCCTGTTCTGCTTTGGCTTCCAGGCAGAAGAACCCAAACGTGGAAGAGCAACAGCCTCTCACTGTGGGAGAAGCTCCCAGGAACCCCACCACTACGGAAAAACGGAGCTTTTCTACCAGAAACCAGAGCCTCGTGCCCGGGATTTCCCGTAGTCAGCCGCTTGCAGCGTGCTCTTCCCAAGCCATCAACGTCTCGGACCACCAAAAACCCAAGTTAGATGAACCATTATGGTGAAGAAGAGCTGCAAAGCTTGAGGAAAAGGGAACAATTTCACAGCTCCTGCTGAGCAGAAACCCTGGATGCCAGGAAGATGTTCGAAGACAGCAGCAGCTACTGTCTCGTGGTGGGGAGGAGAAGATGACCGCACAACTTCATAGGTGGGTTTTCAAAATAACCAACCAGGCAGCGGTCGCTAGGCTGGTTGGGAACTGCGCAGCTCCGTTCATCAAGCACAAACGCCTTCTGCTCAGCTGTGAACTCCTCTCCCCAGAAGATAAAAACGCTCCTCTCCTTCCCAGCTGTGATTCTCTTCTGCTTTCTGGTAGGGAAA